ACAGTGAGCCGAGATCTCGCCACTGCACTCCGGCCAGGGTGACAGAGCGAGACTCTGTCTCAAAAAAAAAAAAAAAGAAAAGAAAATATACATATAAATATTCTAACATTGAACACTTAAATATTCACACTGGCCCTACCAACAAGATTCATGTGTCAGCTGCACACTGTCTTTACTGGCCACTGAAAAAGAAGGGTGCCAATCCAACCAGCAAGTCCCTGCTAATCACATGAAGTGATGTGGCCAACTGGCTCGAGAGCCCTGTGGCAATCCATTGGCCCTGGTGGCCCAGGAGTGATGGCACCTTCTTCATTCACCTCCAAGAAGGCATTGGTCTCTTTGGAAGAAGTCAATTTCCTCGTGTGGCAGACTTCTGTACAACCTGAGTTCTTTTTTCCGTGTTTGTTCTTCAATCTCCTCTTGTATGTCTGATATGCTAAGTGTTAAAACATACAAGTATTAACAATCACTTTAACAAAGAATCTAACTTGGTGACACTGTACACTTGTCAATCCTTCAGGTGTCTGGGTGGCATCATGTATATATAAACACCCAGGAAAAAGAAGGGGGAAGAGAGAAAGTTATGGAACAGAAGGATTCGGTGTATCAGAATGACTCTTTTGTCTGGAGTGAACCATTTGTGATTGAGGCTCATTCATCAGGTTGCTGACAGCTCACAAACTCATATATTCATTCATTCACTCATTCACTTAGTCAGTCAGCTGGCAAATCCTGCAAGTGCTTACTAGGAGTAGGACACTCCTGGGCTCTGGGCTGGAGCTGGGAATGAGCTAGAAATGATGCTTCCCTCAGTCTCTCCAAGAGAAGGAATGAAAACATGGGTCTGAGACCAAGAATTTGACTCTAATATGATTTATCTTATCTATCGGGGAAATTAAGCCCCAGGTATTCCTTATATTGTTATATTGATTGTTATTTCTGTAATCAGTACATAATAATAACAATCAGCAATCAGTATATAATCAGTTCTATCAGTAATCATTGAGTCTTACTCAGACCTAATTCCCTAACAACAGTGAAAATGTACCATGGCCCAAGATTAAAATATATATATGTATGTGAACATATTAATATATATTTTTTTCTTTTTCCACTTTTAGATTCAGGGGGTCCATGTGCATGTTTGCTTCCTGGGTATATGCGGTGATGCTGAGGTTTGGGAAACAAATAATCTTATTACCGAGGTAGTGAGCACCGTACCCAACAGTTCGTTTTTCAACCTCTGCCCCCTCCCTCCCTCTTCTAGTAGTCCCCAGTGTCTATTGCTGCTATCTTTATGTCCATGAGCACTCAATGTTTAGCTCCCACTTATAAGTGAGGTATTTGGTTTTCTGTTCTTGCATTATATATATTTTTTAAATTTATCCTCTGTGAACACACATAATAAATAACTCCAAAGTAATGTATATTTGGCTGCACTCATATGTGCATACACATATATATTTCAATATTTGTATATGTGTAATATTTCATATTTGAAAAATATTTCACAGCCATTCAGCACAAGTCTTAGTCACAGAAACATTGAAATAACTTGGCATTTGGGAGACCTCAAGGCTTTTAATGAGACCTAACAAACCAACGCTTAAGAGCAGCAAATGTCACTTTGGAGCTCAATGATTGCTCACGGAGATCTTGTCATAACAAGTTACGAAGTCTAAGTTCTGATAGTGGATTCACTTTTTTCTTTTTCTTTTCTTTTTTTTTTTTTTTTTTGAGAGGAAGTCTCCCTCTGTGGCTCAGGCTGGAGTGCAGTGGCGTGATCTCGGCTCACTGCAAGTTCCGCCTTCCGGTTCACGCCATTCTCCTGCCTCAGCCTCCCAAGTAGCTGGGACTACAGGTGACCACCACCACGCCTGGCTAATTTTTTTGTATTTTTAGTAGAGACGGGGTTTCACCAGGTGTTAGCCAGGATGGTCTCAATCTCCTAACCTCGTGATCCACCCGCCTCGGCCTCCCAAGTGCTGGGATTACAGGCGTGAGCCACCGCGCCCAGCCATGGATTCACTTTTGTGAAGTATATTTGTTTATAATTATAAGCTCATTTTCAGATTTTTTATATATTTTTCTATGAAACTCCCACTTGTGCCAAACTATCCTGTCTATGCACCTTATCCTCCCCAGAAATGTCAGGCTTTCAAAAAGTGTATCACAGTGTAGTCCCAGCTACTCGGGAGGCTGAGGCAGGAGAATGGCGTGAACCCGGGAGGCGGAGCTTGCAGTGAACAGAGATTGCGCCACGTGCTGCACTCCAGCCTGTGGGACAGAGCCAGACTCCATCCCCCCCCCCAAAAAAAAAAATGCATCACAGGGGCAGCACAGGCAAGTTTGGATTGAAAAAAAAGGTCGATAAGTTGAGTGAACAATTTTCTGTCAGTTATTTCCTACCCAATGGGAGTTCGCCCACCTGCAACAATAAGAAATCCATCTATCAGCTGGAAGAGTCCGTAGGCCAGTGGGAAACTCAACATCTGGACCAAGTGCTCAGCAGTGAAAGATAACTGGAGCATGGTGATGCACATCTGAATATTCTGAGCTCCAGTTTCTAAGGAAATCGTCCTGCACCTAGCAAAGAGAAAAATTTCAAGAGTAAAGCACTAGCAATAAGAACTATTCTCACATTTTCTCATACGCATCATAACAATTAGAAGCTATGACCTCAGGCCACAGAAAATGTGTACTCATTCCATAGTTATTTGCTGAATTCCTACTCTGCAGGTGGTCTTCTGAGAGGTACGGTGGAGTGGGGTTTTGCAAACCCTGCTCTAGGCATCTGAGTGAAAAGACAAAATAAACACACAGGAAAGGTTCAGCAGCAACACAAGACAAAGTATGGCCAAAGGCCACGCAGATGTAGAAATTCAGAAAATGGCAGAAGGGGTGAGAGAAGGCTTCACAGAGGAGTGAGATTAAAGGATGGAAAAAATAGAAGAAGCTTTTGATGAGGGGGAAATATTATAAAAATTAAAGTGCCAGGGACAGGTGTGAGTGTGGCCTATTCAGCAGGCATTGCATATACTGTAAGCCAATCTGCACAGAGGAGAGGATTGGAGGAGATGAGAAGGGAAGGTTGAGTTAGAGATATGATGCAGGGCATGGTGGCTCATGCCTGTAATCCCAGCACTGAGAGGCAGAAGTGGGAAGATCACTTGAGCCAGGAATTCAAGACCACCCTGGGCAACAGAGTAAGACCCTGTCTCTACAAAAAGAAAAACATATATATATAAAGACATATGAAACAACATAAACTAAACAACACTTAAAAACAAATAAACATGGCCAGGCGCAGTGGCTCACACCTGTAATCTCAGCACTTTGGGAGACCGAGGTGGGTGGATCACCTGAAGTCAGGAGTTTGAGACCAGCCTGGCCAACATGGTGAAACCCTGTCTCTACCAAAAATACAAAAATTAGCCAGGCGTGGTGGCACATGCTTCTGTAATCCCAGCTACTTGGGAGGCTGAGGCATGAGAATCGCTTGAACCCAGGAGGCAGAGGTTGCACTCCAGCCTGGGCAACAAAGGTCTCAATAAATAAATAAATAAATAAATAAATAAATAAATAAATAAATAAATAAATTAAAAACCCTAAATAAAGACCAAATACCTAAAATGGTTGTCTTTGGTGAAAGAGTTTGGTAATAATTTTTCTTTTTGCTTTCTACTTTTCTATATTTTATTGGTTTTCTGGTTGCATAAAATGAAATAAACCTCATTTGAAAAAGATAAAGGAGGGAAGAGAGGGAAGACCTGGGCAGGACATTGAGGGCTGAGTTAAGCAGTTTCATGTCTCCAATTTATAAAGGGAGTCTGCAGGGGTTTATACGTGGAAGTGAGGAGATAAAAGAGGTGTTTCAGAAAACAAACAAGCATCTGTGTTTAAGTTGGACTGGAATGGGGAAGTAACAAGGGTGTGTGATGAGGGGGTGAAATTGCTGTCAGTGGTACAGGGCAAGCTCTGTGTTCATACTTTATTTCTACTTACTCTATTGCGTGCTACACTTGCCTCAAACCACCCTCACTTCTTTCAGACTTTTGTCAAAAACTCAGTATGATTAAGCTCCAAAGCTGGAACCCACACCTGCACCATTCATGAGCCAAATCTCAGTCCTGGCCTTTGTCAGGCTATCGGGTATGAAAAACATGAGATTGTGGACTACATCTTGCCATAGGAGTACTTTCTGTCCAGAGCCAATTGCATTTCAACCACTCAACAGACTGTGTTCCTGATTGTTAAATTTGGAAAAAAAAAAAAAAAAAAAACCCAGGTCTAAATCCTAACTCCACCATTTTCTAGCTCTGTGAACTTGGTCAAGTCACTTAATTTCTCTGAAGGATCTGCTCATCAGTAGAATGAGGGTAGTGATAGGATCTACTTCTCAGGCTTGTAGTAAGAAGTAAATGAGATAGATGGGGTAAAGCTTTACCGATCACTTAGTACAATCCTAAATGTTCCCCAAGTGGACTGGAAGTAGCATAAAGCCAATTAAAAATTCCCATCTTTCACCTTTGGAATTCAACTGCATAATTTACTTTTCTTTAAGAAATTTTTTCTGCTTTTAAAAGTAGTCCATACTTATTGAAAAGCTTCAAAAATATACCAAGGAAATACTAAAGAACTAAAATTATCCTTACTCTCCCTACTCAAAATTAAACATTGTTACCATATGGTATATTTCTTCCAGTATTTTTTGATGCATAGAACTCTTTTTGCTTTCTTCTACAAAGTGGGAATTAAATACACGTCACTTTCTATTCTTTTTTAACTTAAATTTATCTCTTCTTATCAATTTGGCCTTTGCTTTAATTTACATAAAGAATTGCCACAATATTTTCCATGAATTGCCATAAGTTATCCTGCTCCGTTCCACTGTGTAAGTCAAAACTCTTCATGTCTCCTGACACAGGCAGCAAAGCCTGCCAGTGGCAGTGTGTTAACTTTACCTTCCTCAAAAAAAAGTTTATGGATAGTTCAACTATACCTTTGCCAAGACTGGTGGGTAAAAAGTGCCAGCAGAAAACCCGTGACATGGCCAATCAAAGGAAAGATGAAACTGATGGTCAGAAGGGTGATGTCTGAATTCCAAGATCCTTTCGCCAGGACCACACCAGCAACTGCGACCACCAGAAGGAGGACCCCACCAACAATGGCCCCAATCTGAAGCAAACAATAAAATAAGTGCATATAAACTCAGGGTTTTTTGCTCTATGATACAAAGTCCATCGAGGTTGTAAAATGCTTGGGATCTAGAAATTTTAGAACAAAGTAGGGACTTAGAGATGACTGAATCCAATTTCACTTTGTAGAGGAGAAATCTGAGTTCCAAACTGGTCAAGTAACTTGCCTATGCTAGAAATGGGTGGAATTTGACACAAATCTAAGTCTTGTTTTAGCACATCTACTTTTCCCTTCAAGTAGAAGATTTTGCCAGAAAGATTGGAAGCAGAGTTTTATTGTGAGTAGAACAAAAGTGCAAAATGAATGGGATCTGACAATGAGCTTCCAACACCCCTGCACACACCTCTGTGACCCTCTGCTTGTGACCTCCAGTCTGCCCTGCCTGACCATCTGCCTCCCCTCCCACCGCCCCTTCAACCACCAGCAGCTGCCTGCTGCTTTGGTCCCTGTCCTTCTCCCCTCCAAATAAAATCTACCCATTCTTCATTGGACAATCTGAGCTAATACTCATGATCACATGAGAAATACTGATGGAGACCTCTATCCTCTCCCAAATGGATACTGTTTCTTACTTTAGTTGTTTAACAAGAACAGAAACAAAAAGCCAACAATAACAAAAACAAATTTGAGTTTTAGATAAAATAGGAAGGAAGGATGGCCTAGGGTATTTTGGGAAAATCAGGATCTTGGCAAGCTCCTGTTCATATCATGTAGACAGTAAACTGTGTACCTAGTTACAGTGTCAAACTTGATTTGAAATGACTCAGGATGTGAAGGAGGGTGGTCGTAGGAAACTAGAGAAGACAACAAACCATATACCCAATATACCATAAATGTGTTCTGGGGGTCATTTTTACTGTTTAAATACAGAGACAGACTAGACCCCTGCCTAAGAAAAAGATGCTAAGACATAAGAAAGCTTCTTGGCCAGGCAAAGTGGTTCATGTCTGTAATCTCAGAACTTCGGGAGGCCGAGGTGGGCAGATCATCTGAGGTCAGAAGTTTAAGACATCCCGGCCAACATGGCAAAATTCTATCTCTGCTAAAAAAAAAAAATACAAAAATCACCCAGATATGGTGGCACATGCCTGTAATCCCAGCTATTCAGGAGGCTGAGGCGGGAGACTTACTTCAACCCGGGAGGTGGAGGTTGCAGCGAGCTAAGATTGAGCCACTGCACTCCAGCCTGGGTGACAGAGCCAGACTCCGTTTAAAAAAGAAAAGAAAAGAAAAGAAAGAAAAATGAAAGAAAGCCTCTGAATGTAACATCCCCTCTTCCTCTCTCTACCAAAGATTTCAAAGTTTAAAATCCACCAAGAGCAAATGAGGAACACTTAAGTTTGTTCAGAAAATGTGTCAGATTTAAAATTAAAATAGAACTAAGAACAGAGAATGAAGATATACTAAAATAATGATAACATTAGCCTAGCTTTTTTTTTACTAAGGTGCTGTAGAATATTTATGCATATTATTAAATGTTTTGCCATAAATCCTATGAAATACCCAAAAGAAAAGAGTTTTCAATCTGCTCTTTACAGCAAATAAAACTGACATGTAAAAAAAATGTATCTGGTTTCTCCACTGACACTGATGGATTGATAACGGAGCTGGAAACTCCAAAATCATGATTTTTGCTGTTGTTGTTGTTAAATGCCCTTTTAAGAAAAATAATCAAAGATAGAGTATTTGAAAAGTAAGAAGTGGCCGGGCGCAGTGGCTCAAGCCTGTAATCCCAGCACGTTGGGAGGGCAAGACAGGCAGATCACGAGGTCAAGAGATCGAGACCATCCTGGCTAATACAGTGAAACCCCATCTCTACTAAAAAATAGAAAAAACTAGCTGAGCGAGATGGCGGGCGCTTGTAGTCCCAGCTACTCGGGAGGCTGAGGCAGAAGAATGGCGTAAACCCGGGAGGCAGAGCTTGCAGTGAGCTGAGATCCGGCCACTGCACTCCAGCCTGGGTGACAGACCGAGACTCCATCTCAAAAAAAAAAAAAAAGAAAGAAAGAAAAGCAAGAAGTTTCCATGATCATTTCCCTCCTCTTGTTTTGAAACAAATTCATAACTACCACACTGGAAATTTTCTCCTACTGAAATAACAATAATAAATGTGGAAAAGGGGCCAGGCACAGTGGCTCATGCCTGTGATCCCAACACTGGGAGGCCAAGGCAGGAGGATTCCTTGAGGCCAGGAGTTGCAAACCAGCTGGGCAACAGAGCAAAACCCCATCTCTAAAAAAAATTTATTTTTATTAGTAGGGCAGGATGGTGCATGCCTGTAGTGCTAGCTACCTCAGAGCTTGAGATGGGAGCATCATTTGAGCCTAGGAGATCAAGGTCGCAGTGAGCTATGATTGTGTTATTGCACTCCAGCCTGAGTGACAGAGCGAGACCCTGTCTCAAAAACTTAATTAATTTTTAAAAATAAATGTGGAAAAGATGGGACTGTATTCCATGAGGTCAGCTAAAAAAAGAGAGTGAAAATCAAGTGTACACCATTGATGTTAAAGTCATCCACGTGCATTACAAATGTACTATACTAGGCCATCTTCCAGCTCTCTGTGCCCAGCTGATTTGTCTGCTTGGCAAGCCCTCTCCTCTCCTTCTCCATCGCACTGAAGGAATGGTGGGAGTTGTTTGGCCTTGTGCCTAACTGGAAAAACAGGGTCCATTGGCACAGGCATATGGAGTGGCGATGTTCTGTGAGGTAGAGCCAAACGATAAACCACAAAACAAAACGAACTGAGATTTACTACCTGAAACTCCAAGTAACCCCAAATGTTTCTTTCTTTATAAATGCAAAATATAACCAAAACATTTTTTAAATTTTCATGAAAGCCACACATATTATAACCTTCTATCTGCTAAAGTGATACATAATCAGAAAAAAAATGGAAAGCACCCCTAGGAGACTCACATCATTGTTAAGAATGCCTCCTCTTCATGTTTTGTTTTTTTGTTTTGTTTTGTTATTAGAGATGGGGTCTCACTCTGTGATCCAGGCTCGAGTGCAATGGCACGATCATGGCTCACTGAAGCCTCAGCCTCCTGGCCTCAAGCAATCCTCCCACCTCAGCCTCCCAAAGTTCTGGGATTACAGATGTAAGCTGCTGCACCTGGCCTCTCGAATTATTTTTAAAAACCGTTTAACAAAGACATTTGCTTGTTTCTCCAGCAGACAAAGGGCAAGACTGCAAAGACAAGAGGAGGTAGAAAGTTCTAGTCACCATCATTCCATAGCTAGACTCCTCAGTGCTCTCTGGATGATTTCATTTAAACAGTCTTATTCATGTAGTCAGCAGCCCTTGCTCATGTGTACAAACGACAGCTTTGGCAGTGCCCCCAGGAATGCTTCTGCAAGACAGTCCTTCCTCCTACTCTTCCAATAAACCAGCCATATTCCTAATGGGCGCCCTTCCATGCTCACTTAAACAGCTTCTGCCTCTAGAGCACCTGTGTGAAGCCTTGTGCGTGCATTGGCCTGGGCTCTTCTGTCCACACACAGCTTTAGCTTTTCTGACACTAAATCAATAGTTGCTTGTTTTCCAGGGCGTCATAAGCCTCGGGGTACAGGCCTATGGGAGTGGCAGAGCAAGGCTTACAGGGTGGAGGAAATACAATTACTGGATCCAAAACCGCAGGACGTGTAAGGAGAATTTCTGGGTGTGAGGCTGTACTCGCCAAGCTCACTTGTCCCAGCCACTGCTCGCTTCTGTCTTTCAGGCCCCTGAGTCTGAGGATGTGCCAACAGTGGCCAGGGAGTTGCTCACCTTGAGAATGATTTTGGATTGTTTTGGCCATCTGTAATTCACACAGACACCAAAGGCCACGGGGATAGTCAGGCACACAAGGGTAATTCCTAAAGAGAAGAAAAATCCATCAGAGTGTTTCCCCTGTCACCCTGACTGCACAGCACTTCTCAACAACTTCCATTTCATTTAGATAACAGCTTTAAACTGACATTTTCCCATGCCACTCTCCAAATCTGGACAAATGCCTACAATATTGGCTCCGAAGTTATATAAGCTGCTCATAACATTTTGTGTCTTGTTTGTGAGTGCCTTTCAGAACATATTATCAAAGCAGAATATATTAAATAACTTACTGATCAGAAAAAAGTTGCACATAAAATCATGGTTTCTAAATTAAGGTTTCCCTCAAGTTTTACAGATTCAGTAGGCTCCCGCTGTTGTGAGGAAGTGGTTTCATTTATGGTTTTGAACTATGGGCCATGGGTTGTAAGCCCTCAAGGTGTTTACCTGATACACCAGATTGACACTGACAGTCTTAAGAATCATTATGTCAGTCAGGCGTGGTGACTCACGCCTGTAATCCTAGCACTTTGGGAGGCCAAGGTGGGCGGATTGCCTGAGCTCAAGAGTTTGAGACCAGCCTGGGCAACACGGTGAAACCCAGTCTCTACTAAATACAAAAAAAATTAGCCGGGTGTGGTGGTGTGAACCTGTAGTCCCAGCTACTCGGGAGGCTGAGGCAGGAGAAGGCAGAAGTTGCAGTGAGCCGAGATCACACCACTGCACTCCAGCCTGAGTGATAGAGCAAAACTCTTTCTCAAAAAAAAAATAGTACCTATCACTTCTCCAAAAACTGACCATACTAGGAAAGGCAGATCATTTCACCACATTTCTCTTCTAAGCTTGGTAAACCCACAGAGATCTTTAGGAAAATGGCAGACTTTAATGAGAAATAGTATTCAGAAGAGGAGATAATGAAAGAGATATGGGTGTGACTGTGACATGTAGATGAGTTTTCATAATCAGTAAGAATTATTTACATTCAACCTCCACGAAAAAGTCAAGGTTCGCAGGCAAAGTGAAAGGTGGTCACAGGAAGGTCTAATTAGAGCCACTAGATCCAGTTAAACCTTGGAGCATAAAGAGTCCAGTTGCTTTATAGTCTAGTTATAGAAGGGTTTGATCCTTGCTTTTTCAAAGTAAATTATCTGGCTTTCTTTTTTTTTTCAAAAACGCACTCTTGTAGGGGTGAAAGTTTGCACTTTGTAGTCATATTCCCAGGTTAGAACTCCAGTTCTGTACTCACCAGCTGCATAATTTTGATCAAGTTACTAAACCTCTTGAAGCCTAAAGGTTTAGGCGATTGAACTGGTGACAGAATCTACACTGTAGGGTTCTTTAAGGAATTAAATTAGGTACTAAAAAAAAAAAAAAAGTCCCGGCATAAAGAGTTATGTAATTAAGAGCAGCTATTATTAGTGTCATCACCATTACTGTTAGTCCTCCATTTCCCAGGCCCATACAGACCTATGTTCTGATAAGGAATGGTGAGATTCTGCTGAAGACTCCAGGACCAGGCGTAGAGATAAATGCAGAGTGGCATCATTCCCAGGGCGGCCACGGTGGAACAGGTTGTCATACTGATGCTGAAATTAAAATTAATACAATGCTTAGGAGGGAGCAATGGACATGAATTATTTAGTCTTTACCAGAAACAACTCCTGGGACACAATTTCCTAGAGATTACATGGACTAAGCTCCTTGGAGCTCATTTCTCTCCTATTATTTAACAAACGATGGCTATATTTGTGGTCTACAAAGAGATTTCCAGCAGTTCTTGTCATCCATCAATTACCTCATATTTATTTTACTATCTACTTGCCTTAAACATTCTGCTACAGGCACTATAGAATTCTTCTCTTATCTAGTTCTTTTTTATTGAAGTATAATCCACAAGCCATAAAATTCATCATTTTAAATTATACAATTCAGCAGTTTTTAGTATAGTCACAACATTATGCATTAATAGCACCATTTCCAGGATACTTTCATCATCTCAGAAAGAAACCCCATCCCCATTAGCAGTCATTCCCCAGTCCCTGCTTCCCCCGGCCCTTAACCAGCACAAATCTACTTTCCATCTTTACAGGATTACCTGTTCTGGACATCTTAGATGAACAGAATCATACATGTAGCCTTTTTTCTGTGTCTAGCTTCTTTCCCTTAGCATAACATTTTCAAGGTTTGGTAACAGTTTGACTGTCCTCTCCAACTCTCATGGTGAAATGTGATTCCCAACGTTGGAGGTGAGGGCAAGTGGGAAATGTCTGGGTCACAGGGGCACATCCCTCGTGAACAGGTTGGTGCCATTCTCATGGGATTCACTGAGTTCTCACTCAGTTCTTATGAGCTCTAGTTGTTAAAAAGAGTCTGACACCTCCTTCCCCTCTCTTACCATGTGATGCCTGCTCCTCTTCCCCTTCCACCATGGGTGGGGTCTTCATGAGGCCCTCACCAGACGCAGATGCTGGCACTGTATTTCTTATGTACAGCCTGCAGACCCACCAGCCAAATAAACCTATTTTTTTTAGAAATTACCTACCCTCAGGTATTCCTTCATGGCAACACAAATGGGATAAGACAAAGTTTATCCATGTTTTAACATATATTAGAGCTTCATTCTTTTTATGTCCTTATTCTATTAATATAGTGCATCACATTGATTTTTCTGCATATTGAATCAACTTTGCATTTTGAAATAAATCATATTTGGTCTTGGTGTATAATCCTAGATTCAATGTGATAGTATTTTTTATTGAAAATTTGTGCATGTATATTCATAAGAAGTATTGATTTACAGTTTTCTTTTCTTGTGATATCTAGTTTTGGTACCAAGGGGATTGGAAGTGTATTAGGCTGTTTGCATAGCCATAAAGAAATAACTGAGGCTGAGTAATTTATAAAGGAGGGTCAAAGATCTGCAGGCCGTACAAGCATGGTTCCAGCATCTGCTCCTGGTGAGGACCTCAGGAAGTTCACAATCACGGCAGAAGGCAAAGGGGAAGCGGGAGCAGGCATCTCACATGGCCAGAGGGGGTGCAAGAGAGTGAGAAAGGGGAGGTCCCAGACTTTTAAACAATCAGATCTCATGTGAACTAACTAAGCAAGAACTCACTTATCACCAAAGAGATGGCATTAACCATTCATGAGAGATCCACCCCATGATCCAGTCGCCTCCCACCAGGCCCCACCTCCAATACTGGAATCACATTTCAACATGAGATGTGGAGAGAACAAACACCCAAACCATATCAGCAAGTTAGAATGCCACCAAGCTGACTAAACGCCTGCCCAGTGTGAAGTGTTAATAAATATCTGTCAGGAAGAAGTCACCCAAACACCACATGCCATAAGCTCCCCATTGGATAGGGCAGTGGCCCCCACAGTCGCTGACCTGCAGACAAAGCAAGTTGGTTAGGGCAAGGGAGGGTACAGAACCACAGAGAAAGGGAACTGATGTGAGATGCTAGACTGAATTAAGAATTCTGTTCCAATTCTGATATCGTGTGATCCTATGATTAGAAACTGGGTTTGGGCCAAGTGTGGTGGTTCACGCCTGGGATCCCAGCACTTTGGGAGGCCAAGGCAGGCAGATCACCTGAGGTCAAGAGTTTGAGACCAGCCTGGCCAACATGATGAAACTCCGTCTGTACGAACAATACAAAAATTAGCTGGGGGTGGTGTCAGGCACCTGTAATCCCAGCTACTTGGGAGGCTGAGGCAGGATAATCACTTGAACCCAGGAGGCGGAGGTTGCAGTGAGCCAAGATCATGCCACTGCACTCCAGCCTGGGCAACAGAGTGAAACTCCATCTCAAAAAAAAAGAAAAAAGATGAAAGAAAAGAAAGAAAGAGAAGAAGGAAGGAAGGAAGGAAGGAAGGAAGGAAGGAAGGAAGGAAGGAAGGAAGGAAGGAAGGAAAGAAGGAAGGAAGAGGAGGGAGAAACTGAGATTTGACATTGAAGTAGAGTGGTGAGTTAGAGTACAAATTAAGATTTCTAGACTTCAAAATGATGGTGTGATACACAAAAAAGCTGAGTCACTTAGCATCAATTTGAGGGGTTGTGTTACGTAAGGTGATAGTGGGACATCCAGTCTTTGGTGAACAAACCTGGGAAGATTTCTAAAGACAATTAGTCTGTTTATCTCTGTCATTATTGGGGTTGTCTCTGGCCACCTTGGAAAGTGAAATGTGGGCTTGTGAGCTGGATGAACCAAACCAAAACCAACAGCCATGCTACATAGCTTTACTAGGAAAACAACTGAGACCATCAGAAGGAAGTTGTGGTCTTTGTTTAACAAATCCAGAATGATTTCTAATGGAAAACTGGTTTGTTTATCTCTGTTATTATTGAGGTTAATTGTCTCTAAGTAAAAAGGCTAACACATCTTAAGTGCAACAGACCTTAAGAACTTTTAAGTACCTAATGTCTGTGGTGGAGGGGGAAGAGTACTTGGTTTGGAGTCCTCAAAAACTGTGTATCGTGATTACTGCTATGGTCTGAATGTGTCCTTCAAAATTCATAGGCTGGAAGTCAAATCCCTAAGGCCACAGTATTGAGAGATGGAGCTTTCTGGGAGGTGTTTAGATCATGATGAATCCACCTTCATAAATGAATTAATGCCATTTTAAGAGGACTCCACCAAGGAAGTTTATTCCTTTTTGCCCTTCTCTCTTCCACCACGTGAGGAGCAAGAAGGCCCTCACCAGACAATAGTTGCCAGCTATTGATCTTAGACTTCCCAGCCTCCAGAATGTAAGAGAATAATTTCTCTTCTCTATACATTACCCAGTCTCGGGTATCCTGTATAGCAGCACAAAATGTACTAAGACAATTACTATACTGTTATTGCGTTATATGAACTAAGTTACTGCTTCACACATTTGTAATTTGTTATTTTTTTTGTTTTTTGAAATGGAGTCCCACTCTGTCACCCAGGCTGGAGTGCAGTGGCGCAATCTCGGCTCACTGCAACCTCCGCCTCCTGGGTTCAAGTGATTCTCCTGCCTCAGCCTCCTGAGTAACTGGGATTACAGATGCCTGCCACCACACCCGGGTAATTTTTGTACTTTTAGTAGAGACAGGGTTTCACTATGTTGGCCAGGCTGTCTCGAACTCCTGACCTCAGGTGATCTACCCGCCTCGGCCTCCTAAAGTGCGTGAGCCACCACGCCTGGCCATAATATATTGTGTTTTTGTATTTTCCATATATATTTTTAGTCTACATTTTTTATTTAGGGAAAAGCACTTAGCTACATTAACTGATAGTTAATATTTTATGTATTTTAAAGCCTCCTGCGCTCTAAACCAGGGAGAAGAAGAAGAGCCCATGGTGCATGTAGAGAAAGGAAAGAAAGAGAGAAAGAAAGAGAGAAAAGAAAGAAAGAAAGAAAGAAAGAAAGAAAGAAAGAAAGAAAGAAAGAAAGAAAGAAAGAAAGAAAGAAAGAAAGAAAGAAAGAAAGAAAGAAAGAAA